ATATATTAACAGGAAAATTCAATTTAATTTCCAACAAATCAAAAGTTAAATTAAATTTCAGTTATTTCCCCTCCTTCAGTCGCCCTCAGACCCTGGAGAGGGGGCTGACTGATGGATGCCACCACCTGCTGCTCTTTACTTGAGCAGAACATCCCTCAGACCCAGTGGGAGGGGGAGCTTTGATATTGCGTGCTGGTTCCAAACATTTTATTTTTGTCCAAACTGAAAATGAGATGTAGAATAAAGCGAATTTGATATTAAGCTCAGATTTGGTTATGTTTTTTTTTTTCTGTCTCTCACTGACTGAAGTATTCATTACACGTGATGTGTCCAAGGACCGTTGGAAATGTGAAAATTCAACCATGATTTTTGTTTTTTACAATTTCTGCTTATGATAAATGATATAATTGTAGCAACCTTTACAGAAGTTCTTTAAAAATCGGATGTAAAATAAAGACAAAATACAGCTATTAAAATTTGTATGCCCATCCCCTTAGCTAAATTAAAAAAACACAAGTGCCTTGTCAGTGCTTAAAAAAAATATTTTACATGCCTCACTCTTTTTGCACCACCCCCTCCCCCCTCATAAGTAAAGAACAGTCCCTAACCCTCTTCATTATTCTTGGGGGATTTTGACAAAGCAAATTTCAGATCAAATAAAGGAAACTTATTGCTCTGTTACCTGAGCAGCGTTGAGACTCTCTGATCACCGTCTGCTCCACTGATCTACAGACAGAAACTAAAATCTGTAACGTGTGAAATTAAAGCTGTGAGGAGATGCACCAGTGAGACAAAGCTTAGAGTTTTAGTTTTAGTTTTTGAAGTTGTAGCAACAAACCAGGATGAGCTCCTGCCTCATACATCACAACAGTCAAGTTCTGGTTTATGGCTTAACTCAGGCAGGAGGGTGTGAACAGAGGTAAATCAGAGTAGTTAAAAGAAGCTATTCTGAAAATTTTTTATTTTTTTTTTTCAAATGTTGTCAGCCACCAACCATGCATCAGGACACCACCAGTTACTGGAAAGAACCCCCCAGACTGTGGAGAACCATCAACATGGCTGAAAACCTGAAAGCGTTTTACTGCAAGTTTGATAAGCCCATATTCATACCCCTCACACACCTGCCCCCACACAGCAAACACAGCAAGTAAATGTACTATCAAGGGTCAAATTCCAAGCGGCTCTGAAACAGAGTCAGTCCCCATAGACCCACGTGTTAAGATTACCAACTTAACAGCAAAAATTAACATGTTTACAGCCTGCTACAAAAAAACAGTTTTGGTCTCTAAAGCCAATTTAAAAAAACATGACAACTGTACAGGGGTCAATTTTATATAACTCACCCGTTTACATTTTATTACAGCTTAAAGTTTTGCATGATAAGAGCGGGCTGCTTTGAGTGACAGCTTTGAGTGACACCTGAGGGAAACCTTGGGTGTGGGATTCATGTGGATGCTACTTGATGTCCTCTACCCATCCGAACACTGTTGCAGACAGTGTTCGGGTGGGTGTTCGGCTGGGTCGTAAAAAATATGGCTTTCCAAAAAAAAAACAAAAACTGGTCTCGTGGCACAATTTGCCCCCAATGCGGGGTGAGTTGTGCCTTTGGAGAAAATACGTTGGGGTAAATTGCACCATTGATTATTGAAGTAAAAAAGAACATTTTCATGTCATATACTGTAATGCTGTATCAAAGCAAGACAAATTCAATACCAAATTACTTATTAAAGCTTTTTTTAATAACATCAAAGGCCAGTTTTAGCAGTAGATAACATGTCTACATAATATTTATCATTTTCAGGATAAAATTAAGTTAAACCTGAACAAAATCAACTGCAATTCTCAGGACCAGCTACAACACAACATGCCACTTGTCAATGCTGCAATATTCTTCAACAAGGCCTATTTAAAATGTTAAGAACAAAATGAAATTAAAAATGAAGGCTCCAGGCCAGTAGAGTGTGTGTGTGTGTGTGTGTGTGTGTGTGTGTGTGTGATGGCTCCATAGCTACAATCTTCTTCAACAAGACCTATTTACAGACCTTCCCCTGTTGCACCTCTCTCACTACTCTGTCCAACTCCATAAGAGGGGTTGAACCCCTGTCTGTCTTCCTTTTGTAAAGGCGTGGCATTATGGCTTTTGGTCTAAAATCAAAAATGTCACATGATTAACTTAACACTTAACATTAACATAAAATAACATAACCCAGGCCTTTTGGCACAAATCACCCCATCCCCACCATTTTAGCAAACTTGTATCATCCAGCAGTTTAGAGCTAACATCATGCTAACAGTATAGCCTCATATTGTAGCTTACTAAAGAACTAACTCATGTATGAAATGTTTTCAAACTTATCTATAATTGTTAAGACACAACAATCAATAAACCATGATCATAAAAAATTCACTTTGAAAGGCAAAAAACAGTTTTTTGGACTTAAATATGCTTACCTCTTGTGCCATGTGCCTCTTTTCTCCACAGGCTGAGAAAAATAGATGCCTCCTCAAAAATAAGAGGTCACATGACCAATTTCTTCTATAGTTTTCTAGAAACAAGGGCTGGCACAACTCTCCCACTGGCACAAATCACCCCACTCTCCCCTACCCCTCCTCATGGCAACAACACTTGTCAATAGCAGTGACCCCTCTGCAGGACAATACACCATGCCACACCACAAAAACTGCTCTGGAATTACCTGAGAAATGGGACAAAGAGTTCAAGGCATCAACCTGGCCTCCAAATACCCCAGATACCAATCTAATTGAACATTTGAGGGACCTTCTGGTACCCCAGAGGGGTCCTAGGACTGGACTTGGCTCTGACCTGTCAAGGCATGGACACAGGACCTCTGAGGGCTGTCCTTTAGGATGCATTCACACTGGCGCTATTTAGTCTGCTTTAAACGAACCCTGGTCTGCTTCCACGGATAGTTTGGTTCGTTTGGAGTGGTGTGAACTCTCATTCGAACTCTGGTGCGGACCAAACGAGCGAACATCCATCATAGATGGAAGATGGCGCTGTATGAGACGGCAGCCTATCCAGTCGCTCTGCAGCACTGTTTTTGTTTTTACCTTTTTCTTCCCCTCTTTTCTAACTTTTCTGCCTTTTTTTAATATTTACTTCTTCACGAAGGATTTTACATGTATCCCATGGATACGGCGGACTCAAAAAAACACACGGGAGTCAGCTCTCTCGTTTACTCTGGAGAGGAGTTGCTGGCTCTTAGGACGAGCACACCTGGACAGAGACACAACATCCCAACGGAGCTGCCAAGGAGATACCGAGGCTGCAAAGCAGGGGCTAAGCTAAAGGCTAGGCTAGCGGACAACCAGAGGCGCTTCAAACCATCGATTCCCTCCGTGATTATGGGGAACGTCAACTCACTGCCGAATAAGATGGACAAGCTGGCCACTTTGGAGAACCAGCGGATCTACTGTGAGTGCAGCTTGTTCATTCTGACGGAGACATGGCTAAGTGATAGCATACTGGATGCTAATGTGGACCTGCGGGGATTTACAGCAGTGAGAGCCGACAGGGACGCGAAAGCATGTGGCAAAAACAAAGGTGGGGGACTCATCATATATGTCAACAACCGTTGGTGTAACCCCGGCCATGTCACCGTGAAGGCGGTTTTGTGTTGCCCACATCTGGAGCTGCTGGCCCTTAGCTTGCAGCCATACTATTTACCGAGGGAGTTCAGTCACATGATCGCCCTCTGTGTTTACATTCCTTCGAGAGCAGATGCGACCGCTGCCTGTGAAAGGATACACAACGTCACAACACGGCTGCAGTTGCAACATCCTGAGGCCTTCATAATAATATCTGGAGACTTCAATCATGTCACCCTGGACTCTACCCTGGCTGCTTTTCACCAGGTTGTCAACTGCCCCACCAGGAAGAACAGGACGATTGACTTACTGTATACCAACGTTAAGGAAGCATACAGAGTCACTGCCCTCCCCCCACTGGGTAAGTCAGACCACAACCTGGTGTACATACAGCCCCAGTACACCCCCCTGGTCCAAAGGAAGGCTGTCACTACTCGCTCCATCAGGAGATGGACTCCTGAAGTAGAGGAGGCCCTAAGAGACTGATACAACACCACGGACTGGGGTGTGCTGCTGGGTGCACATGATGATGAGGACATCAAGGGGATGACTCACTGTCTCACAGACTATCTCAACTTCTGTGCAGACGTGGTTGCCCCCACCAAGACTGTTCAGTGTTACTCAAATAACAAACCATGGGTAACACAGAGAGTCAAGGCTGTCCTCAACAAGAAGAAAAAGGCCTTCAGGACTAAAGACAAAGAGGAGATGAAAGCAGCACAGCGGGAGGTGAAACGCTGCCTGAGGGAGGCAAAAGACTCCTACATGGAGAAAGTGGAGCAGAAGCTGAGGGAGAACAACATGAGGGAGGTCTGGGAAGGTGTCAGAACCATCACAGGCCACAAAGCTAGGACCAGGACAGGGGGGGAGGGTGTGGAGAGAGCGAACGACCTGAACAACTTCTTCAATAGGTTCAGCCACTCCACTCCACCCCCCACCCTCACTGCAGACCTCACCTTCCTCTTCTCCCAACTGGCCACACATATTGTTGTTGCAGTAAATCATTATTGTGTTAAAGACTGTTAAATCGTAGGGGTGGACCGCCAGTTGTGTTACTAACCCTATTTCTCCTGTTTATTTAGTTAGGGAGGTAAGCTTTTTGTCATTTGTTTTTTTATTGTTTGGTTAGGTTATTTACTTACTCCCTGGGCAGGATTGTTTTTGTTTGTTATNACATTTCTCACCTCTCTCTCACAGCAACTCCAGCTCCATGCCCCCCCCTCCCTTTCCACGGCAGCTGTGCAGCACCGGTGGCATTCACATCACATCTGATGAAGACTCTGGAGCGGCTCTTCCTCAACCTCCTCAGGCCTCAGGTACAGCACGCTAAGGACAGCCTACAGTTTGCTTACTGAGCAGAGGTCGGTGTGGAGGATGCCATCCTCTACCTCCTACACCGAGCCCACTCGTATCTGGACAAGGGGAGCGGCACTGTCAGGATCCTCTTTTTGGACTTTTCGAGTGCCTTCAGCACCATCCAGCCCCTTTTACTCCAGGAAAAACTCATCGAATGCGAGTGGACCCCTGGCTGGTTGCTTGGATTTCCAGCTACCTCACCGACAGACCGCAGTATGTCAGGTTGAAAGACATCACGTCTGACACTGGTCAGCAGCATAGGAGCTCCGCAGGGGACTGTGCTGTCCCCCCTCCTCTTTACTCTGTACACAGCGGACTTTGGCTACAACTCTGAAATGTGTCACATCCAGAAGTTCGCAGATGACACGGCCATAATGAGATGTATCAGAGATGATGAAGAGGAGGAATACAGGAGCCTGGTGAGGAACTTTGTTTTCTGGTGCCACACAAACAACCTGCAGCTCAACACCTCAAAGACTAAAGAACTGGTCATTGACTTCAGGAGGGACAGACCCAGACCCAGACCAGTTCTGTTAGGAGCAGAGGAGGTGGAGGTCGTGGAGACCTATAAATATCTTGGGCTGTGGCTGGACAGCAAGCTGGACTGGACGAGCAACACTAAGCAGATTTACAAGAAGGCTCAGAGCAGGATGTACTTCCTGAAGAGGCTACGATCCTTCAACATCTGCAGGAAGCTCCTGTGGATGTTCTACCAGTCCGTGGTTGTTAGCGTCCTTTCCTACACTGTGGTGTGCTGGGGCGGGAGCACATCAAAGGCAGAACTTTCCAGGTTGGAAAAGCTGGTCAGACGGGCCGGCTCGGTGGTTGGCATGAAGCTGGACCCCCTGGTGACAGTGGCGGAGAGGAGAACTCTTAACAAACTGCGGGGCATCTTGGACAATGCCAACCATCCTCTGCACACTTTCATCAGCAGCCGGAGGAGCCGGTTCAGCGACAGGCTGCTCCTTCCAAAGAGCCGGACAAATAGACTGAAAAACTCCTTTGTCCCCCGTGCCATCAAACTGTTCAACTCCTCACTGGAGGGGAGGAGGGCAAACAGATGAACAGATGTACAATAACCATGTACAGTACAATACATGTGCAATAATAACACAACCATACAAATACTGTGTTCTGTTTATACTGTGAATACTGAATACTATGTACAGTTTATATATATTATATAGACACACGTGTATATATATATATATATATTTCTCTTGTTACGACTGTTGTCGTAATTTATTTTGTTTGTGTGTATTTTGCTGCATGTGTTCTCTGTGTTTTCTGTATGCAAATAGGTGTGTGCCATAGCCCGGCGAGGATTGGTGAATTTGATCAGTGCTCATTCCTGATTGGCTGCCGTCAAGGCGGGGGTCAGGTTTTTAAAGGACAAAGATGGCAGTTGCTTCGAGCTAACAGGCAGACCTCACCTTCCTCTTCTCCCAACTGGCCACACATATTGTTGTTGCAGTAAATCATTATTGTGTTAAAGACTGTTAAATCGTAGGGGTGGACCGCCAGTTGTGTTACTAACCCTATTTCTCCTGTTTATTTAGTTAGGGAGGTAAGCTTTTTGTCATTTGTTTTTTTATTGTTTGGTTAGGTTATTTACTTACTCCCTGGGCAGGATTGTTTTTGTTTGTTATTTTGGCCTTAGTCCACCCTGAAGTTACTATTTCAGTTAATTCTGTTATTTAAATATTGTAAATAAATTCGCACTATTGATCGTTCCATAAATCTTTTTAATTGTGGCTACTTGGGACTTGGGGAAGATGGGGGCCTTTCATGTTGTGTCCCAGACACCCCTAGACTGGGCATAACACTCTCTATTCTTCCAGTGTTATTTTATTTTATATTTTGTATATGTATATTTAACAGTGCTGTGTGTGAAATGGAACTTCAATTTCCCTGAGGGAACCTCCCAAAGGGATTAATAAAGTCATGTCTAAGTCTAAGTCTAAGTCTAACCCTGGACCGCTTGAAAACTGGGGGTCTCGGTTCACTTGCAAGCGGACCCTGGTGCGGTTCGCTTACAGTGGGAAATGCAAACGGACTATCCAGTGAACCAAAGAGAGGAAGTGAACCAAAGAGGGGAAGTGACGTAGAGCCCAGTGCATTTTGGGTAAAAAAAACAAAGCCAACAGTGCTAACTGGGAGAAGCAGAGGTAGAAAAAAAGAAAAAGTTGGAAAATGTCTCGTGGGCAGACGTGAAGTAGTGAGGAGGTACAGACACTTGATATATGGTCAGAGGACTGGTCTGCACTGGTGATCAGGTGGGTGGAGAGTGTCAGGTGGCATCCACATGAATGTCAGAAGCCAAAGTTGCCCAACAGAACATTTCATTGCAACAAGATGATCAATATTGTTCACTTCTCCAGTTCTGGCTGATCGGTGTGTGTGTCTATATATAATATGAACATTTGTTCACATGCTTTGGGTTTAGAAGGCTAGGGGGCAAAAAAGACACAACCCTTTAAATGCACGCTGTGTCACCGTGTGGACAAATCCAAAGGTTAGTCTGCTATTACAGGAGTATAATTAAGATCTTATCTCATGTACTGTATATGGCCCTTTTAGTGCCTAGTTAAGGTTGCTGATAACTGGGAGGGGTTTAGCGGTATTTCCGACCGTATTTGAAGGCAGCACTTTTTGGCGGGTCGTGTAATCTGATCTGACGTTCTGCGTGCTGCTGCTGCGTCGCCGCTGTTCTCTGCACACACCAAAACAACACGACGTGCTGTACGCAGATGAGAAATGGTCCATACCATCAAACACGCTATAGGAAACACGCTGGAGGATCTGAGGAAAAACTGCTTCCTTAAGTTTTGTCACCAGCTGCGAGACCGCAGAGAGGAGCCGCGGGTCCGCCACAGTGAGGTGGAGGATAAAACTGTGTTGGAGATCACAGACCTCCTGGTTTCAACTTTCACAGAGCCCAAAGCTCTTCAGGTGACTCTGGATATACTGAGGCAGATTAACTGCAACAACGAGGCTGAGACACTGTGTGAGTAAACACGTGGATGATTTTAAATGTCCAATAACCACTGTGCCACATCATGCACTCTGCTACAATCCTCAAAGTGGCTATGACGCATACATACACTGCTAATAACAATGCATCAAATGACAGTGTGTGTTTCTGTCGTGACTCAGACCAGCACTGGAACGGCTTTGGTGGAAAAGGGGTATGTGAGAAAATGGGTCCCTGGGCACAGATTTGTAAAAGGCCCCACATCATCAGAGCAAAACACACAGACTTTGCGGTTTTGCGTCTTTTTTTTATTGTGTCTTTTATCTTTGGAGTCTTTTACACATTCTTGGGGTTCTTTGTCTTTTTTTAAGTCATTTTGGGTCTTTTCTGGTTGTTTTTATGTCTCTGAAGTAAGTTTGTGTCTGTTTGTGGTCATTTTGTGTATCTTTAAAGTCATTTTGTGTCTTTTTTGGTTGTTGTGTGTCTCTGTGGTCATTTTGTGTCTATTGTAGTTGTTTTGTGTCTCTTTGTAGTCATTTTATGTCTCTGTAGGTTTTTCCAGGCCTGGAAAAGTCATTGAAATAGTAAAAATCTTTGAAGGTTTTGGAAAACTCATGGAATTTCATTGTTCGTAATGAAATTATTTGCTACAGTAATCTTTCAGGGATAACCTTCCACATGATGTAACATAATTTATTTTCTGCAAGTTAGCTGTTGTTGCTCTAATATGCGTCACCTTAGGGCTGCACAATATATGTTTTCAGCATTGACATTGCCATGTGCGATAGTAACATCGAAGGACGTGCAACGTCAAGCATGATACAAATAGAAAACATGCACAGTTCTCATTTTCCATGACTTGAACAGGCCAAGCCTTCCTCTTTTAGAAGTGTATGTGTGACGTAGTGTGGTGGTGTTTGTTATGGAAAGACTCCCCTGCATGTGTGTGTGTGTGTGTAGAAAAGTACCGTAACCAGGCCGGCAAGTGCAGCACTTTTCCCAAATGAAAATTTTATTATGGGTCCTTGAAAAGTCATGGAAAGGTTCTGAAGTTTTGTTCATGAAAATATGTTGGGACCCTGAATCATACAGTTATTATTACGTTCCTTTTTCATGCACACATTGACGGAACAGATGGGATTACATTTTGCTGGAACTGTATTTTTTGTATGATTTCATGTAACAAATAAAATGACTGATTGATTGATTAATTGATTGACTGACAGGGTGCATATTGGTGGGGTCTCTGTCGCACTGTATATGGCACAATGAAAACAGTTTTAATATTTAACACTGTCTTATATTAGCCTTTCACCATTCTATCATCTCTCCCTACAGATTTACAAACCAAAGCCTGTGTGGACGTAAGTTTTACTTTACACAATGACATTCAAATATTCTCTTAAACATGGCAGTCATTAAAAAAAAAGTTTTCTCACAGTGGTGTTTTCGTTTTTGTTTAGAATGGTGACCCTACCTTCCGTAAGACCTCGAGTGGGGCGTTGGAGATGAAGCCCTCACAGGAGGCTTGGAACTATGCAGCCGGCCGGCGGCCTTTAGGAGCTGCTCGACAGGGAGATTCTCCTGTGAAGAAGCCAGAGGAAGTGGAGGCTGAAGCAAAGGCCTGTGTTGTCTCTGAGGGTGGGGACCCTTGCAAAAAAAGGCTCGTTCTAAGCAGGTTTACGATTCAGTTTGGCCAGTACAAAGATAAAACCTTTAAATGGCTGTTGGAGAATGATGTAAGCTACGTTGCCATGTTGGTGGCTCGTCACCAGAAGGAGCAAGAGGACTCAGTGAGTCAGAGTCCACTGATGGTCAACAAGGTAATGCAAAGAAAAAGGGGATCAGAATCAGAATCAGAATCAGAAATACTTTATTGATCCCCGAGGGGAAATTATTTATGTTACAGGTGCTCCTTGCAAGACAGGAAAGATACATGAAAATATAAGAAATGCTGTCTGCCCTCTGACATTAGCAAACTCCCAAAAGTTTTCAGTTTCAAGGTTGTCTCGTCTAAGCCGATATGTCTGTCCTCAGTTCCTTCACGCTCCCTGCAGGAAACTACCGATGTAGCTACACTCAGTGTTCCTTGACCCATAAAAATAACTGGATGCAGGAAACAGTGTCCGATCAGCGGCAGCACTGCTCAAGTCCTCAAACTTAACAAAAACAAAACAAACAACAACAAAATCCAGTTTCTATTATGTCCTCAATAATTTCTCCTCCCCATAGTGCCAAGACCCAGACATCATAGTGTTTTATTTTTTCTTTCTTCTTCTACTTCTGTATGTTATGTTTTTATTTAAACTGTAAGATGGAATTTATACTTGAGCATCAAATCGACCTACGACCTACCATACCTACGCCATAGGCTCTGCGTCAATGTAGAGGCCATGCCTTACCTTACCTTACGCCGTAGCCTGATGTGCACCTCCCCGGAAATGTAACTACATGTTGCGGCGACACAAACCTCCTGTTTATTTTTTCTGTAAGCTGAAACCATTTCCCTCAGTGGAAACAAAGCTTTTGTTTACTTTAATTTCACAGATAAGCAACAATAAATTGTGAAGACAATAAAGCCTCCACAAAAATAGCATTTTAAGTCCTGTGTGTGATTTATCCTGGCTTCATGTGAGCAGAGGAAATCTCTTGTCGCTAGGCTAATTTATACAGTGTAAAATGCCATAGGCTTGTGCTAATAATTTTAGCATATAGTATTTGTTTGGAAAACGTGTTTAGTATAAGACAGTTGTTTTGTTGGTGAACCTTGTGAGTTGTAATGGAGCCGGATTTTCAGCTCATCCATCCCTTGGTACCATCTTCCAAAGTTATCCAAAAGGCTGATTGTCACCTGTAGTCCCCGAAGAGATGCTATAAAGTGAAGTAAATCAGAGAATGTTGACAATGTTATCTTTACTTTTATTTAAAGTATTTCAGCACGCTTGTTAACATGTTTATGTGCGTACGGTAATTGATAATGTGTATTTGTCTCTAATTGCCCCTTGAGTAGTGAATGTTTTTAATTCATTCTAAGGAAAAATGGGCCGTGTAGCTTCAATAATAACACAAATTTTTTTTCATTTGAAGGACTCCTTGACTCAATACGCGATTGCTTACCCTGAGGTTTTGCAAGAAGTCAGATTTCATCGTGGATACGAGAGATCTCTCCAGTCAGGCCAAAAAGGAAAGGCGCTTGTTGGCTTTGGTAAGCATCGATCAGAGACGCTGCAGGACCTGTACGAGTCAAAGGACAAGCACAAAATGAGGTATGACAGAATGCATTAGTGAATTGCAGTGGATTGTGGTGTTAGTAAGGCTAGCAGACATTAAAAGCCACCACTCTACCCTTTGTACACAGCTATGTCAACTTTCTCCGTTCCAAAAAGTCGACCTGCGACCCAGGGTCCAAAATGGACATCGCTGTCAAATACATTTTGCAGCGTGACCGAAAGCAGGCCGCAGCTGCCAGAGGGAGACTGACCAGAAGGGCCCAAAGCACCAGAGGCCAGCCCACCAGCACCTCAAGGTCTGTGTTTTGTTTTCAAAGTTCACTTGTACGTTATTAATGACAACTATTTCTGCATGTGGTTCCCTATGAGTTGTTACAGACATCTTTGTCCTGCAGGTTTTATTGTTTATATCTACTGCAGGATTGTTATAGTAACTCTAGTGTCTCTTGAATTGCTTTGGGATTTTGTCTTATGTTTTAATCCATCTCACCACCTCGCAAGTACTAACCTTACCCAAACAGTGCTTCTATTTAAAGATACTGATCTGACTTTATTCATTATTTTTTCTTTTAAAGGTCCAATGTGTGAGATTTAGTGGTATTGAGTGTTGAGCGAATCACTGATTAAAGCAGTTTCACATTACAAATCAGGGTTTTTCCAAGGCTCTCGTCTTGGAGGGGCTGCTAACTACCGTGGCTGATGCAAAAAAGCGACAGCTAGTGTTTTGTTCATTCTGGGCCTCTGTAGAAACAGAGCAGTGCAACATTGGGATTTCCACAGAAGAGGACCCGCTCCAGATGTAGATATAAACTACTTATGCTAATAAAAACACTACGATTCTTGATTATACACTAAAGAAAAATACTTTCTATATGATATATCTGCAGACATAACCCCTTAAATCCTACACACTGGACCTTTAACAAAAACACTGTGACTTTGGAAGAAAAATGCAAACCTAAATATGTCATCTCCAAACCGAAGCTGAGGTAACCCTGATGATGACCCTGATGCAAGCACTGGCCCGGCTCACTCCAGTTTCCTCTTCCTCCCCTCTAGGACCTCAAAGAAGAGCCTGAAAAGGAGCTGGAGGTCATCACATCCCTAGCTGTCCCTGGTGACCAACCATCGTTGTCTTTGGAAATCAGTGGCCTTTCCTCCTGCGGCATGCAACAACTCTTAGGACAAAAACATGTACAAGTTTTTTTACATCAGTATTGATAAGCATTAATTAAATGGTTTTTTTTTTGGGGAGGGGGGGTGAGGGTTCCACTGAGGGTCGAAACAGATGTTGTACACATTGTAAAACCCCTTGAGGCAAATTTGTGATTTGTGATATTTGGCTACATAAACAAAACTGACATGACTTAACACATTATTTATTAACATTAATAAACCCCTTTTATTACAACTCTTATGCTGTAAATGATGCCTTATTATTAATGATATGAACACTCATTACTCAAGCGAGGGAGTTCAAGTATCTCAGGGTCTTGTTCAGCGGTTTGGTGCGGTATCTGCAGTGATGCAGGCGCTGTGCCGGACCGTCATGGTGAAGAGGGAGCTGAGCCGGAAGGCAAAGCTTTTGGTTTACTGGTCCATCTACGTCCCAACCCTCACCTATGGTCATGAGCTCTGGGTAGAGACCGAAAGAATGAGGTCGCAGATACAAGCAGCCGAAATGAGTGTCCTCCGTGGGTTGACTGGGCTCAGCCTTAGAGATAGGATGAGGAGCCTGGAGTAGAGCTGCTGCTCCTTCGCATCAAAAGGGGTCAGTTGAGGCAGTTCGCGCATCTGATCAGGATCCTCCTGGGCGCCTCCTGTTAGAGGTGTTCCAGACATGTCCCACTGGTAGGAGGCCCCAGGGCAGACCCAGAACATGCCGGAGGGATTACATAGCTCATCTGGCCCGGGAACGCCTCGGGGTCCTCCAGGAAGAGCTGGAAAGCGCTACTGGGCACAGGGACGTCTGGGGTGCTTTGCTCAGCCTGCTGCCCCTGTGACCGGTTGAAAAAAGATGGATGGAAGAACACTGAGCTGTTTACTGAATTCTCTGTAATGCAGGCATCTTTGTAGGAAAAGATTATATAAAGATGCATCAACAGGTGAGATAGATGAATGTGTCAGGGCCTGAGTATAACCTGGATGTAACAACATGTTCATAAAGACCTTCATGTACATGAAGACATGCTTGTTTGGTTTCTGTTTTTGTCTATAAAAGGTTAATTTTAATGCGGACGAATGTACTCTGGAAACATACAGTACATGTGTATTGTTTCAAATGCTTGCTCGGGCTGAAGTGTCTTGTCCTCTCTTGTGGAATGCGATGTTCTGATGTTCTGTGGAATGTGAATGTCTTTTCTAAGGTCAAAGGTTAATGTAGCCTTAGGTGATGTCTGACTGACCACCTGGACAGGGATGCCTCTCTGTCTAGGAGTAGGTTGGATTTTGGAGATAAGAAATCATATATAAGGAGAGTAGTTTGGACCGAAAGGGAGAGCTCACATTTGGCACCAGAGACTCTCAGATTCAGCGGGTTTTTGACACTGTTCTTTTTTTGTAATAACGTCTTTTTAATATACAAGTGAAGACGTGTCAGAGGTGGTCACTTATTTTCATCAACACAGCAGTAAACAACAGGGCCAATACTGATAAATACCTCTATCTTAAAGAAGACTGTGAGCCACAGAGGAAAAGACCCCAGAAGGACTTTTATTATGACAAAATATAAGAGCACACGTGTGTCAATACATCAAGTGTTTCCCTGAGGAGAAAAAGAACAACACTGACTCACTACATAGTAAATTACATGAGTTGGTAGTCTATATCTTGTATCAGGATTATACAGCACTTTTCTTCACACAAAATGTTGCTTTGTGAAATTACATTCCAAAACTGATCATTCAACCTTTGAAACTAACAAAGATAAACTAGATTACATGTTGCATCATTCCCTGTGAACCCCTCGTGTCTAATAAGTAATTTGAATCTGGCATGGACATGGTGCATGAAAGAAAACTGCTAAAAAAAAGAGGCTGAATGTAAATACATTAAATGGCTGCTGCAGAACAAATACAGACAATAAATAGTTTCCACAGTGGGGTCGGATTTCATGAAGACCTTCCGAATTGGAACTTGATGGGCTCAAATCCCAATTTTGAAACCAAATGAAGAAATGGCTAAAATCTCCTCCTAAGAAAGACTGTTACAAGCTAAAAGATAGGCAAGACATCTACATAAAAATATGGGGCTATTATACTACTGTAACCTGATTTACTCATGAGTTTCATCCTTTCTTATAATCTGAGGTGTTAACTAGTGTACATAATATGATATACAATTTGATATTTATAAAATGCACCATGTAGAATATGTATCAAGCATGCATATATTTGTGTGTATATAAACTAGAAACTGCTCACAACAAGGTCTCTGGATTATTTTGATTAACTGGGTCATGATTTCTGGGAAGCAACTTTGCTGTTGAGTTTTTCAAATGTATGTTTTTTTCAGCACTTTGAGCACCACAAGCTGAGTGCCATCTAGTTCCATTATATTGGAGAGAATATGTAGCTTACATTTAGGTGAGCTGTCCCGTACAGAACTTCAGTAGCTTTACGTCAATCAGGAGAGACTTGCTGTTATAGTAAAACAATATTTCTAAACTTGCACAAGAATAAAAATATGGAAAGTCTTTGGCAGTTAGACCCCGTAGAGATGGTATGATTTAAGGAGGGTGATGAATAGACGCTGGTGATGAAGATGAGGTGAGAGGAAGATGGAGAAGTGCTGATGATCTGGATGAGTAGAGGAATGAGTCTTCGCTGAACTTGTCCTGACTCAGGGTACGATGGCGGTGAATGGGGTGGAGGAGGGCATGACGACTATGCCTAAAATAAAGGCTGACAGCAGCAGAAGAGAAAGCAGATTTAAAATTTTGCAGTGGCATCATGATTGGCTGATAGAGATCGTGGCGACGTTTGATTGGATAATTAGAGTGAACACCCATAGTCAGCTGATTAGAGGAAGCAGTGGGATGGAGAGAACTGTGAATGGATGAGCACAAAGAAAGTCTTCCTGACTGAACTCACGCTGAGCTTCATTTACATTACACCACTGCTAAATGAGTATTTATTCACTGTAAAACAATTAAAAGCCTAGTCCCAATTAGACACCCAGTGCCTTTTTGTTGCCAGGTGTGGCTACACATTCTGACTAATAAAGGCCTGTCTCAATTAGACGCCTGGTCTGGTTGCCAAGCAGTTCATTTTTAGGGGCTGTACACATGCCACGTCTTTTTTTGTGCCAGCTTTCAAGGGTGCGGCAGCAGGTTGCATCTGAGGTTGCCATGAAACGTCAACAAGCACAGTACCATAGCCCGTTTACCTGAAATCCTGAGTGCAGAGCTGATCTTCTTCCATGTGCTGTTTACAAGTGTGTGGCCCTATTCTCTATGATTACTTATGAAATTACCAATAGGACTTAGAAACTCTGATCTGTGCTGGAGATGTGACCTCACTTGTATCACCCTCTAACGTGTTGTATTCACACCCCATGATAGATCCTCTATCGATCCTTCACCAGTGTGTGGTCCTATCGTCCGTGTGACAGATGTAAAGCTCTGGCAGCCCTGCACTAATACTACTATCGATCAACTTCTCCATACTGACCACAGACTGATATTTACGGACAACGGGAAAGATATCTGACAGCTTGTATATCTGACACGCGGCATGTGTACAGCTCCTTATAGAAGTTCTTTGAATGTATATAACCAGGTTGTTGACTGCCCACTTGAGCTGATGTTAGTCAGCTGCTCAGATGGCACATATAAATATATAAGTTTAATCTTTTGCCGATATGGACATGCTACACATTGTTAGCTCTGTTCATTTCATTTTACTGAAACCACGAGCGCCAGAGAAGACTGTGGGCTAATTTATTCAGATTTACCGGCGTGACGAAAAAAGAAGTGGTGACTCCCTTCCTCTGACGCTGTCATAAAGTCAGACTATGTGTTAATCCCTTGATTACCCGGTAAGTTCATATTCATTCAGCCCGTAAGGGTCCTCAGATCAAAAGAATCAAAAGTGTCTGTCATAAAAATGAATCCGAATTATGACTATTGTTTAAACAGGATACAGTGGTGTTGTGTTGGTATGCTGTGTGCTGTGACACAAGCACTGGTTTAAATAAACAGTGTGATCATATTTCCCATCTTTGCTGAGCAACAGGAATTAAAGGCCTGTCACATATAGGTGCCTGTCCCTAATATAAGCCTGTTTGAGTTCAGTGATTTAAGCAAATAAAAAAATTGAAAATTTTCCAACCGGTTTGACTTAAAGACAAATATCTAACCGAACCAATATATCGAATTATATACCTAATTTTACCACTGGGGGTTGCATTTGAGCTATTTTTCCCAATAAAAGCCCATTATAAGTGTAATGCGCTTCCAATCCACTAGGTGGCGGTAATGCTGTATTAACCGCCAATACACACAAGGTTACACAAGAAGAAGTAGAAGCAGAAGGACACCAAGACGTTAGGGCAAAGATGGTGGATAAACCAGTAATAAAAGTAGTAATAGTACAGTATACTATATTCACCTTATTTTTCACGGAAACACGGAGGCAAAACAGAACGCATCCAGCTTCCGTTTTTTTGTGTGACACTTCCGGTCCAGCACTATTGACCACTGTGTAAATGGGAATCGCCTTGTTGTTTATCTTGTTGAGTTTAGCTATATATATATCACATTTTTCACGTCACTATATCACTGTTTAGACTAATCTGATGTTTGTAAAGTCCATAAACACAATGATTGAACAAACATTAGTATTTCTGTGTGCACGTTTTGTAATTAATAACATGGTTATCGTAGATTAGCTGGGCTAACCGTCAGCTGTTAGCCATTAGCAGTGCCTGTAATAACTCAATAAACGGTCCGTGAAAAAAATATTTTTTCCAATGGATGTCTTAGTTACAACATGATTGAGCTAACTGGAGTAGTTTCATGTCGTATCCGACAACGGGAGGCTTTTAACAGATGACGTCCTGATGTTAGCTTTGCTGCTAGTGTTAACGTTAACTGTCCCTGTCAGCTGCAGCCACTGATGCTTTCTAGACATTGTGATTTCCCAAAACTGAATAAATACCACACATAGCAACACAAATCTGCTTTGCTAGCTCAATCATGTTGTAACGGCTGGATGGTTGATGCGTACATGCTGATTCAGGTGCTATCAGAGCCGATCCGCGCATCACTATGGCTTAATAATCAACTCAGTCAATAAAAACAACCCGTCCTGTGTTAGGAGTGTATGTCGCTGACAGAAAGAAAGAAAGAAAGAAAGAAAAGAAAAAAAAGATAGAAAAGCAGCGTAAACCTCACATATTTATTTCTCACAGTTGCGCACACGTTTGGCTGGCATGCAGAAGCACCGTCTGTGTGTCTGTGTGTCGAGCCCAGTGTGTTTTTTCGCTGATTTGGTTCTGCAGGTTCTCTGCTGGTACACTGGAGACGGGGATCAAGCAGTTTGTCTCACTCGGAATAGATTGTGCTTTTTTGGTTCATTGTTTTTGATTGACGTGTGATTTATTCGCGTTTAGAGGGAATTATTTTTACCGGATAACGGAAACATGGGCACAGTTATCTATATAAAATACACAGACTAACTAACTAACTAACTAACTAACTGATTGACTAACATAAACAATTGAAAATTGAAAAAAACACAGCTTGCACCATTAGCTCCAGTAAGGGAAAGCGGCTGACCGGAAGTCACTCACAAAAACACGGAAGATGATCACTATTTACTTCCATGTTTGAAAATAAGGTGGATACTGTATAGTACAGTAGTAATCCAGTATCTTTGGTTTATAACAACAAACTGAATGACTGCTGACTCCCTCACACTTTTCCCCGCCCCTAATGAAATTTGATCTCTCGCAGCAGCAGCAGCAGACAGCTGAGCAGAGCGGAGAGGAGAGTCCCTCTGCAGCTTCTGAGACAAACTAAACAAAACATTTGTAGGCTTCTCCACTTCATTTATAAGCAAACATAAAGCTTATTAAGTTGTCATAATGCATGTTACAATGCAAGATAAGTTGAATATAGTCCCTTGACACGCCGCTGATGTGAAAAGCACCCCCCTGGTTTATCCGGTTGATGTGAATTAAACCGAGTGGAGCTCTTAAACCGGACCGAACCGGTTAAACCGAAAATCGGCACAAGCCTAGCCTGGGCTACGAATAAAAGTTTTACAGTATGTTACATGAGTAGCTAGAGATAATATTACCGTTGAATCTTGTTTGTCTAAAGCGGGCATCTCAAGTTAGAGGAAAGCTTTTGATATAACATGTCATTATTTTTCTTATTGTAACAGCCAAGGTCCAGCCTGCAGGCCGTGACATATGTTCTGAGTTGTTGCAACACCAATCAGTGCGTACCTTTTCCCACCAAGGCGGCTCCTGCTGAGGGTCTTGCAACTGTAAAACGTGTGAAAAATCATCATTTGTCACAGTGATCATTACTCGCTGTTGCACTATGTTTTACAACTTCAGTGTTTGCAGGGAAAATGATTCTTGGCAGGTCAACTCACTGTCAGAGGGAGATGTCTAATGTCCTCCAGCTGTCTCTCTGACTGTAAAAACAAAAACAGAAACATGTATGTTTAACAGAACTGACAGATATCATGCGTACACTCTGTAGTCAACAGTCCTTAGACAGCAAATGAAGAGTCAGGAACAGCATATTCATGATACATCTGCCGTACGAAGGCTGACCACAGTAACTTAAATCGAGGTCATAATTGAATTATGACTGAATCTGATTTTATTATCTGTTCTATCTTGTGACAAAATGTCCTTGTTCAGTCTTGTTCTGTTCTAGAGAAAAACAGGGGTAAGAACTGTAACATAATCCAACAAAATCGCAAAGCAGTCCGCAGTAAATGTGATTACTGTGCTCTATCTCGGTCTCTTTGAGATTTGGGATTCTCTCAGGCAAAGGAAAACCACAGTGAGCGCACTGCAGCAGAGGGTGAGCATGAAAATGTGGATGATGCCAAAGACACGGCCCAAAGTAGAGCCAGTGTTTGGTTTGTGCATTCTTGGATACTGTAGAAACATGGCGGACTCCATGGACATGGACCTGCAACTCATTCCAAGGTAACGAAAACACTATGATTTTTATTTTCAGGTGATTATACACTAAAGAAAACAAGCTTTTTATGTTCAATTTCTGCCACTACGTCCCCAAACACTGGACCTTTACTGGACAAACATCTCTTCTCATCTTATAAATGCTAATTAACAAAAATGTCAGTGTCAATATTGATTTTCATGCAAATTTTAAGAATTTAAGAATTGTGACATTGTGGCATGACTTTTTAAACCTCTCATGCATCAGCCTTAAAAGTCCAGTGTGTGCCAACCTGTATGGCAGACAGTACAAAGTCTCACTGGCCCGGAAAAACATCTGCAAGATATCTTTTACGTCCTCTGCAATAACCATCCTGAACAATGTATAACAGACGCTGCACTTTAACCTGCTTTTATCAGTTTCTGATTTCACAGTTACTTCTATCTATCTAATTAATCATGTCGTCTATGCAATGTACTTACCTTTGACAGGTCCTCCAGCATGTCTGCTAAAACCATCCTAATACTTCTGGGCATTTTTAAAAACCTATGAAATGCTGAGAAATCTGCATATGTAGGCTAGTCTGGATAGCAGGCAGTCGTACTTCCCGCTTACGCCTCGATGTGCAGGAGCAAAATCAGATTAGACACATCTTGGTAGGAGGCATTCACTGACGCTGGTAAATATGAAAATTATGAGCTGAGAACCTTTCACCAGCATTAGTTACATTACTGATCAAAGGCTATATTCAAAGGATGTAAATTCACAAGCGAAGAGGTCCTTTGCAAAAATAGATACGTTCGTAAAATGAATAAACCAACACCGGTTTGACTGATTTAACCTTGAATGCACATAAATAAATACATTTATTATGTTAAATTACATATTTAATCTACTATAAATTATAAATGTATTATCATTATTATTATTATTATCATCATCATCATTATCATCATCATCATTATTTTTTAAATTCATGCTCAGCATACTTAATAGATCTTAATAGACAATAATGCTGGATATTAATATACAAATTAACGAGTTCACTTTTTTAACAAAATGAAAAAAAATCTACTACTACTACAAGTACTGCTACTAATAATAACAATTATTATATTTTTACTCTATATATTTGCACTTTAAATAAAATATTTATTTCAATCGTGTTTATTTATCATTGTT